ACTCGGGTTCGAGTCCCGCTGGTGTGCCGATAAGGTCTAGGCGAGGTCTATTACAGCCGGGATCGTAATAGTGGGAATGATGAGTTGGTGAGACGAGATAAAAATAGAGCTTAATCTTAGGGAACAACTTTATGCGACGCATGGCAAAGCAAAAGTAAATTCAATGTGAAATCAAGCCTTATCGTCAAATGACCGTAGGCCAAATCACAAAAACATATAAATAGGAAATCGACAAAATAAATAACAGGTAACCCTCACAGAGAAGTGAAAACAGGTTACAAGTTTTTAGATCGTTCAAAGTTATGCAATTGTGGATAGTTAAATTATAGAAAATTAAGCAAATATGCTGTTTATTTATTCCCCAGTAAAGAGATATTATTCTCAATAAGACACAAGGGAATATTGAAGATATGAAGACCAAGATGTTGTGCCCTGATGCTGGGAATCATGACAACTACTATGGCAGACGACTTCGGACTAGCTGCCCTGACAACAAGACCAAGTTCTTTACTGAAAGCTTCTAAGTTTCGGAGAGGTCTTATGCATCACGCTACCTTTATTGTTTGCAATAATCCTAAGTAAAGTACCTTGTTTGTGAATTTTGGGCAAATCATACCCATTTGGGGGCCTAACATCTCGCTGGAGAACTGCATTCATTTTCTAATTTTCAACTGCTTACACATTGTTGCATAAGACCATTAAGTCTGGCCTTATCCCCTTCTGTGGGGTCCCTAATTATAGTCTCATATGTTGTATCATCATCTATGCCTCAAAGATTTTCTATACATAATCAGTCTTATCCATAACTACTACTCCTCCTCCTTTGTATGTCATTAATACTAGTTGCTCGTTCTTCTTAAGCTTCCTTAACTGTCCTATTCTTATATGATTTTTCTACATGACCATTAATTAAAAGGGCAACTTGTAGTTCAATGTCACTTCTAGTCTCCACTGGAAAACTATACCTTAAACTTATTAATTCTACCAAAATTTCCTTTTTGAAGTCCTTACTATTTGGAAAGGCAAAGTTTAAACCCTTTGCTAGGACCTTAATAGAAATATCCAATTAAGTTTAGGACAAATTTACCACTTTTCAGCGACGGTAAAGTTGGTTGGAAGGAAATCGTGATGTGGTCTCACCGGAAACTGAAGGAGCATTGTCGCATTAGGAAGACTGTTGAAGTGTGCTAGTGATTCTTTGGCTCGCCGTCCTGCAACCCCGATAAAACTATGCTAAGCTTTCATCTGTACTGTAACGGATTTAATCAGAGCAAGATTCCGTACTTTACCAAATAGAGCATAAAATTTACTAAGCTGAGGAAACAATATTCAGAACCTCTTTCTAGATCAGGCTGTTACAAGGTTTTGTGCTCATGTGGTAAGGTCTGTGTGGAAAAGACCTACCGAACCACTTACAAGAGACTATACGAACACAAAACCGCTTGGAAAGGTCTGTGGGTCCAAAAGCTGAGCTATCTGATGGTCAATGCAGGGTACTCAAACGACTCTTCCAACTCACAACGTTTTGAGGGTTACGGGGGCTTTACGCCAAAATGTAAGATTAGGGAGTGTAGAAAATTAAGTATGAACTTTTTGTGGCTGTTGGATAGACTCAAGGTAAGGGAGAGAGAATGGGTGCAGGAAGAGCCACTTAGCAAGAGAAGGAGGCTGGATTAGCCTCGCGTCTAGACAGGACTATCATCCTTCTCATGACATAAGCATTAAACACACACAATAAACAATAGTACAAACCCAACCATGCTTCAGCATTAGGCGATCATACGCTAGTTTTTGTATAAAGAACAGACGCTACCAAACATGTTTCCGGTTCGGGAAGTTAACTTAACTCATTTGCAAGCATGTGGAGTAAAGTTAAAGCAGCCAACCAAATCAGGGGAAGCGACTATGGTTGCGGCCTACCACATTTTTTCTTGGTTTAGTGTATTT